AGTATTACTCTGCATTAAAAAATGACAAAATCATAGAATTTGGAGGGAAATGGATGGCATTAGAGCAGATTATGCTAAGTGAAGTTAGCCAATCCCTAAAAAACAAATGCCAAATGTTTTCTTTGATGTAAGGAGAGTAACTAAGAACAGAGTTGGGAGGAAGAGCATGAGATGAAGATTAACATTAAACAGGGATGAGGGGTGGGAGGGAAAAGGAGAGAGAAGGGAAACTGCATGGAAATGGAAGGAGACCCCCATGGTTATACAAAATTACATACAAGAGGAAGTGAGGGGAAAGGGGGAAAAAAAACAAGGGGGAGAAATGAATTACAGTAGATGGGGTAGAGAGAGAAGATAGGAGGGGAGGGGAGGGGATGGGGGTCAGTAGGGGATAGGAAAGGCAGTAGAATACAACAGACACTAGTATAGCAATATGTAAAACAGTGGATGTGTAACCGATGTAATGCTGCATTCTGTATACAGAGTAAAATGGGAGTTCATAACCCACTTGAATCAAAGTGTGAAATATGATATGTCAAGAACTATGTAATTTTTTGAACAACCAACAATAAAAATTAAAAAAAAAATCTTGTAGTTCCCTTTTCTCTTAATTGGATTTTACATATTGGTAAACAACTAAATGCTTTTTCCCCATTGAAAAGACACCATAGGCAAGAATAAACGAACAAATTGGAGGGGTAAAACAAAAATTCATATCACATCTTATTAGTTGGAAACCTTTTCCAAATGTGTGCCAGCTGAGTGACAAGACTTCAGAACAAATGACTTTGTTATGCCAATTGAAACCTGCATAAGCAATTCCAAGGATCTGGCAATTCAAACTGTCCTTAATTATCTATATCCATGTGCCTGAGACAAGCAGGCAACTTAACATGTACAAGTATTCTTTTCAATTATTGCATTATAATATGACCTTAAAAAAACAACGTGAGGGACAATTTGTGATCCAAATTTAAATTAAGTTTTCAACTCTGTGGTGTTGCCAATGCAAGTGAACATGTTTGTGTGTATGCACACACACAGTAATTGGCCACAGTAATTATTTCAAACTTGTTCCTCAGCTTCCTGGCTGGACATTGTGTTTTATACTGATGGTAACACATTCTCCTAAAATGTGTTTTGGATATTTTCTCACCATCTTTCCTATTCTCTTCCTCTCCCTCTTTGTTTTCCCCTTCCTTCCGTCCTTCCTTCCAACTTGGGCTATGACATTCTAAGCAGGAAAACAGCTTTTAACTTATTGTGTTCTCATAATTAGCAATAACATCTAGGGTTTTGGGTTTAGCTTATGAAGGCTTTAACCAATTCCAAGCTATTTATAGTTTTTTTCCTAGCATTTAATTTTTTTAAAATTTATAGTTGTAGATAGACAAAGTACCTTTATTTTATTTATTTATGTGGTGCTGAACCCAGTGCCCCATGCATGTGAGGCAAGTGTTCTACCTCTGAGACATAACTCCAGCCCATTTTTTTCCCCTAGCATTTTTATAGTGTTTTCTGTTAGGCTCCTTAATCTATTGGGCACTTGTATTTATTTGTATATGGCATGATGTAAGATTTAAGGTGTCTTGTTTAATAATAAAAAAAACAAATTGTTTCAATACAATGGAAATTTCTCCTTTCCTCAATTAACTTTCAACCATTATCCTAGTTAATTTCCCTTGGATAAAAAAGTCTGTTTCAGAATTCTGTGGTGTAACAGTTGGCTGTCTCTGCCAGTAACAGTACTATATAGTTTTAGTTTTTGTATATAATGGTATCGAGAGGGTGGAAACTTGATCTGGCTATGGTGTTCAGAGATTGGGTCTTGGGAAAGTGATTAGACTTGGAAAAGGTAATTAGGATGAAAGGTAATTACTTGGGACTCTCGGTTTCAGAGTTTTTTCCATCCCATGAATGAATCCTGGTGGCTTTAAAGAAGAGGCACAGAGACCAGAGATGGTGTGCTCCCTGTCTCTTGCCACGTGATGCCATGTGCTGCCTTGGGACTTTGTTAGCAAGAAGGCCATCACTCAAACTGAGCCAATGCCAGGAGCTCAGCTTTGAGACTCCCAAATGGGAGATAAGTAAATCTCTCTCTTTCTTCCTCTGGTCCTGGGATTGAATCCACGGCCTTAGGCATGACAGCCTACTGATACATTTCCATGTTCCCTTTAATGTTACTATGATGATGAGGAGAGTAAATAGGTACCTAGGGACCCAGAAGAATTCTCACAAAGGGGGTTAGAGTTAGTCAGTTTTTCTTCCATGTGACCAAAATACCTGACATGAACTACTTAAAGGAGGAAATGTGTATTTTGGCTCACAGTTTCAGAGGTGTCAATCCACGGTTGGCTGACTCCATTGCTTTGGGTCTGAGGGGAGGAAGAACATCAGGGTGGAAGGGCATGGTGGAGGAAAGCTGCTCAACTCATGGCAGCTGGGAAGCAGAGAGGAAGGAAGGGGTCACAGACAAGATGTCATCCCAAGGACACACCTCCAAAGACCCTCTCCCTCCAACTAGGCTTCACCTCCTACAGTTTCCACCAACAATGGATTAATCTACAAATGAGGTCAGAATCTTCAGGATCCATTCACTTCTCCAAGCCCCACCTCTGAACAGTGATGCACTGGGGTCCAAGTGTTTAACACATGAGCCTTTGGGGGGCATTCCAGATCCAGACCTTAATAGGGCGTTATGATTTAGATATGAGGTATCCCCCAGTAAGTTCACATGACAGGCAAAGTAGGAACGTTCAGAGGTGAAATAATCAGATCATGAGAGCTGTGTCCATCAGTGAATTAATCTATTTGATTGATTGATAAGTTGAATGAATTATTGGGTGGTAATTGTAGGCAGGTGGGGCATGGCTGGAGGAAGTAGGTCATTGGGGGGGGGTGCCCTTGGGATGACATATTTTGTCCCTGGCTCCTTGCTCTCTCTGTTTCCTGGCTGCCATGAGCTGAGAATCGTTCTTCCTCCATGCTCTTCTGCCATGATGTTCTGTCAGCTGACCATGGGAAAAACTCTGAAACCGAGAGAGTCCTGAGTAAACTTTTCCTCCTCTAAATTGTTCTTATCAGGCATTTTGATCACAGCAGTGAAAAGGTGAATCATCATCATCATCATCATCATCATCGTCGTCATCTGAATAATAAAAGCTCAGCACATTTCTATTCTGGAGCCAGTCCTGGCAAGCTTGGCAATATATTCTGAGTAGACTGTATGTGTGTGGGGGGGTTTGGGGGCATCCAGTATGCCTCTGGAGCTGCATCTTCACCCACCTCACACCTTCTTTTGCCCAGTAGATATGTAAGTTACCTTCTTTAGTTTTCTAACTGTAATTCAGTTCTATAAGGATTCATAAGGACCATTCCTCATGAACCACAGCCCAGGGAACCTGACCCAATTTCTAGGTTATAGGTTGGGTGGGGCCTCCTGAATTGCAGGGCTGTCATTCCCTGCAGGACTCCAGCCATATGGTGGCTACCTCTCCCACTGGGATCTCTCCATTCTTGATTTGAGATTCTGGACTGTGCCATGCAGACATGGGGTTGGTCTCTCCATCACTGTCTCTATCTGTTCTTGAATCTCCCCTTCCTCCATTCTCAACCAAGCTGCTGTGAGGTCTCAGCATTCCTCTATATGGACAAGCAAAACTGGTTTGCATATACAATTAAAAGTTGGAAATTCTACTACTTTGACTTTAAGAATGATAGAACTAAATCTTTGGATGCACTAAAAAGTTAATGAATTCACACTAAAGTTTTTCTTTTGGCTGGGATAGCCATTCATACTGTGAATAGTTACCTTAAACCCTTTAACTTACAATGTCAAGAGTTTGACCCTTGAATTCCATGACTTCATGAGGTCACAGACATATCTACATCAGTTTGGCATTTTCAGAGTTTAAGAAAGATGAATATTTTCTCTCTTTTTTTTTTGGGGGGGGGTGTACTAGGGATTGAACCCAGGAATACTCGGCCACTGAGCCACATCCCCAGCCCTACTTTGTATTTTATTTAGAGAGAGTCTCACTGAGTTGTTTAGCACTTCACCGTTGCTGAGGCTGGCTTTGAACTTGTGATCCTCCTGTCTCAGTCTCCCGAGCCACTGGGATTACAGGTGTGTGCCAACACGTCTGGCTGGACATTTTCTCTAGGACAGGAACTTAGGGGACTTACCAACTTCAGGGACACAGTCCTGGGGGTTACAAGATTCTCTCTCTTCTGGTTTCAACTGAGGGTCACAGAGATTACTTAGGGTCATATCATCTGACAGACACCTCACTTCCCGGACCCGGAAGCCACCCTGGCAGCTCTTGGAGCACTGTATGGCAACAAAGAGGAAAAGTCAGTCTATTAGCTCCACACACCAGAGAGGGAAGATATTGAGAAAGTTCAAACATTTCCAAAATGGAGACAGAATATTAAAGCAAACTCCCATGCACCTATCACCCAGAGTGCAACTCATGCTGTGTCTCATCTATGCCCCTCTCACTTCTACTCCTCATACTGTTTTGAAGCAAATACAGGCATCATATCACTCCTTCCATAATATTTTAGTTTATAGCTCTAAATGATAAGAACCCTTAAAAATGATAATACCTTGTTACACTTAAAAACTAAAAGTTCCTTCCTTATCATCAAAATATATATTCAGTGTCCTATTTTCACTTGCCTCATGAATCTCACAGGCTTTATAAGTACTTGCTTTTCTTTACATTCTAGGATTCATATCAGGTCTGCATATGGCAATTAGTTGATGTCTTTTTTGACTCTTAATCCACAAGTTTCCTTTCCAGTGGCTTTTCCCACTGGTACTTCAAACATTTTTGGGTAAAAGAACTGAGTTTTTTTTCTGTGGAATTCTGAAAGAATGGATTTTGCTGAATGGATTTTACATGTTCCTCTGTTCTCTGTATTTCCATCCATTGAATTGGATCTAGAAGAGGCCTCAACAGGTACATGATTCATTCAGAGTTGTGTGGCTCTCTCTCTCCTGGGAATGTTATCAGCCACTGACATGTAATGCCCAGATCCTTAGGTCATTTGGGGCTGAAACATGATACTGTAGTTCTCTTTTTCTTCTTTTTTTTTGAATTTTTAAATATTTATATTCTTTAGTTTTCGGTGGACACAACATTTTTATTTTTTTATTTTTATGTGGTGCTGAGGATCGAACCCAGCGCCCTGTACATGCCAGGCGAGCATGCTACCACTTGAGCCACATCCCAGCCCCTCTCTCATTTCTTCTTAAGAATCCCTTCCCCAGATTTACTTTTTGCTTACCCAGTGGTATAATTAAAAGAAAAAAAGAGTAAACGCTCGATTCTTTCTCTTTATCACTTTTCAGAACAATGAGGTGATTCTCTAACATCCTGTAATGGTGATCTATTAGTTTGTTTTGTTTTTTAAAAACTATTTATTTATTGTTTTTTTTTGTTTTGTTTTGCTTTTATTTTTTCCTGTAGTGCAGGGGATCAAACCAGGGCCTTGTGTGTGCTAGGCAAGTGCTGAAAATGCCAAATTCTTCCTCTACCTCTGTGCTCATCCTCCAGCTCTTACTTTTTAAAAAAAATTGCTATAAACCTATTACAAATTGATGGACTTAAACATATATAATGTGTTTCATTGAGTTAATTATACTTATTATTCTTACCAATGCTCAAACCATCCATCAGTGTCTAGCTGAAGACTGTAAAAGTTGCCTCCTAAGTCTTTTGGACATGAATTCAGCTGTTTTTGAGAAGGGCTGATGAAAAGCTCATATCTGCTGTCTCAAATCTGGAATCAGCCGTTCCTTTAAGAATCCCTGGTCCCCCCTACTGGCAAGAGATATTTCAAAACTGCAATTTGGATATCAGGAGTGCCCTTTGCATTGTATTTGTCACTGTTCGTAGGCTCTTTCAGTGGATGAAATGAGAAACTAGAAAACACTCTTTAAAGATGTATTAATTTATAAGTTATAATATTAGTACCTTACTTTTTTTCCTTTACTTTGTTTATTTATTTTTATGTGGTGCTGAGGATCAAACCCAGTGCCTCACATGTGCGAGGCAAGCGCTCTACCACTGAGCCACAACCCCAGCCTAGTACCTTATTTCTAAGTAATAATATAGCACCTTTAGCAACATTTCTTTAATCCAATCAGCTACTGTTCCTCTGCAGCAGTGTTTCTCAGAATACGGACCAAGATTGACTGCATCCTGCTTATTAAAAATACAATCTTTGTCCAGGATGGGCCCAAATTTGGTCTTTTCAAACAAGGTCCCCAGATGATTCTTATGCACACTGAAAGAGTCACTGCTCTACAATTTAGAAACCAAGCTTCAGATTCACCCCACTGAGCAGGGCTACCCCCAGCAGCAGCTACTTAGAGTAGATTGCCACAGAGAGTCTAGAATCCACTTTTCAACTGAGCCCAGCCTGGCCTAGAGGGCCAGCAGGGGAACACCGTATTAAGACAATCTCTGTCAAGAGCACCATGACTTACCATGCTCCATTCTGTGCTAAACCATTTAGCTCCACAAGGCTGGAGGTGGCACGATTGTTGGCTGGGGGGTCTCTCCAGGAAGGAGCATTCGTAGGGGTCCAGCACTTCAAAAGTGTCTGCGTTCTTCCTCACACAAATCACCTCCCTCTGCTGTGTCCCACTCCCACACCCGATGGAACACTGGAGAAAGCAACAGAGGGAGATGGTGCCATGTGAGGGAAAGGGGACAAGAACTACTGTCCATCAAGGGACAGCACCCATTCTGCCACCAAGTCAGTGCGAAGAACCCAAGGGAACCTGAAGATGTTTTTGGAGGAGAAGCTACATGTGGATTCCAATTTTCCTAACAGTTCTGCTCTGGAGTGCACAGTCAGTGCCCTTGGGTTGACACCACTCAAGGTCGCTGGTCCCTGATGCCACATTGTCTTCTGTGCTGGGACTGAATAGTTTCTCTACCTTAAAGGAACTTGCCAGCCAGTTAATTTGGCTGTTTCTGTCCAGCAGACTCTGACACCTCTCAGAGGTGCTAAAACAATCAGCTGACATTTTTATTTTATCTTTTAGATTCTTAGAGGGTGGATAGCATGAATGAATTAATCTCCCAGAGCCTGCACACCTGTGGAAGAAGGGCTACATTAAAATTCTTGGAACACATAAACTGAGAAGAAGACCCCAGACATGGGGCAATGTCCCCTATGGTCATTCCTCCCTTCCCAACAGGCAGGCCCCAAATCCTGCTCCCTTCCTCTCTGCTCAGCCTGGGCCACTGAGTCCAACTGAACTGTGTGACAGCTGTGATCCGACACTACGGTTTCATAGAGATATCTTCCATTGCCCGTTTCCATGGATATATTTAGAGTCCCATAAACAGTCACTTCTGAATTATTTGGGAATTTAGATGCTAGGTGCTTTGTTACCAATAAAGATTTAAAAAATCTGGTTAAAAGTTGCCTCACCCCAGACTCTAGCTCTGAGCACCCTGGCCTGGGCGTGGGGCCCCTTTGGGGTGAGACAGAGTCTCTTGGCACTTAGCCACCCTGGTCTCTCAGTAAGAACTCTGAGTACCTAGCCCTGCCCTGGGGTTCTGGTGGATCTGGGGGGTGAGTCTTGGGGGTGGGCAGGCAGGGGAGTTACCCCAGCCTATACTTTTCAAGTTCTTGTCATGTCTCTGCTTATCCCCATCCCTTGGTTCACCCGAGAGGGACACTGGGCCTGGGACTTCACAGAAAAGGATGAGGAAGGTGCTGGTTTGACATGCTCCCTACCCCCTCATATCCAGCCTGCAGGGCTTGGTCTCCCCGGGACTCAGTTCTGACAGCAAAATTTACTTGGCTTGATGCAAGATTCTAAGTGGGATCTCCACCCATCCGTTCCTCTCTCCAATTACAGATGCACAAAATGTGCCTCAGAGGACACACCCGAGGCATCATTTAGAGGCTGAGCTACTTCTGTTTGCATCAGGGCTGCAGAGAGTGCTCTGGGTATTGCTCACAAACCCCCGATCCATCTCTTTCTTGGGGGTTCCTTGTACCTCTTCTCTTGCTGGGGGAGGGCTCATAACAATGTCCCCTGGCCCCTAATACCTGAAAGAGGAAGCCACAGCAGCACTGTGGGAGGGTCCCCAACATGTTGCCTGTGTTTCTTTTCTGGTCAGCAAGTCCTGGGATGCAGGCTCCATCAGGACCCCAAGAGATTCACAGAGAGATCTCCTGCCTGCCTCTTGTGCCCTGGGGAGCCGAAGGCCCTGGCTTGGCTATGCTGTCTGCCAACCCTGGAGGTAGCAGGGATTAGAGAGATGGCAGGGAGTCACAGCAGAGGTGAGGCAGCCAGGTTTGGTGGCAGAGGCCAGGAGTGGTGCATATGTGGTGATCTACCTTGGCACAGCGGCAGGCCTGGCTTCCACTGGAGAATGCTTTGTGGGACTGGGTCAGTGCCAAGGGCCAGAGGAGATGGGCCAGGGCCTGGTCCTCAGAGGACTCTGAAGGACATGGGGTTACTGCCCAAGGATAGGTCCATCTTAGCCCATGGATACCAGAGCCTGGGGCCCCTGACTGCTTGGTGCTAGAGGCGTGGTGGCAGTGGTGGCAGCTGCAGTGGGCACACTGTGGCAGACTCTGGAGCATGCATTTGTTTTTTCCATTCCACTGTGGCATGTGCCTCTTAGGGGGACAGTGCTGCAGCTATTACTTAGCTCTGAGCCCTGGGTTTGATAAACAATGCAGCTCAGGACCAACCCAGCCTCTGTCATTTTGGGTCACCCAGAGTGGTGCTTCTGGCTTGCAGTCCTACGGCAGAGACCTTTCCCTGGCCAGTCTGTTCCTCCTCCCCTGCTGGTGAGCTTGGGTCTGAGGCTCAGCCTCTCTGGGCTGGGGCAGGGGCAAACATGTGAAAAAGCTGGCAGAAAAAAAATTAATAAAAATGGAAACAGAATATTTATTAAAGGTTCCCCATGTCCCAAGCAATGAGTAACTCCCCATATGTGTAGCATCTTATGAAACTTGTTAACAGCATGAGGAGATTGGTGCTATCCTTATATTCAGATGAGGAAACAGGCTCAGGGGGGTAAAATTACCTGCTCCAGTCAGAAAACTAGTGAGAAGGGGAGCCGGAATAAGTTATCAATGTGTCTGACTCTGACGTTCAGCAGAGTAGGCAATGGAAGTAGTTGAATTCTCTTTTTTGTCTGAAATTTTCTGTAATTTTATGAATTATTTATAAGAATATTAAAGAAAAATGTAAAACATTTTTCCATGATGTTTACATAAAAACTATGTTTTGAGATTTCGGGTTGAAATATTTTCAAGTTGTATTTTCACTTGCTATTATCTCACACATACTTTTTATATCCTTTAATGATCATTGTCATTGGTACACAATATTTTACTGAGTCTGACATCCCATAATATCCATAGCCACCCTGCTGTCATGAACATCTCTGCTGAAAAAGCCTTTTTTCTTCTGTTAATTATTTCCTTAAAGCAAATCCCCAGGAGTAGGGTGACTGGGTGAAGGCAAATGAACATTTTTATGGTTCTTGACTTTTATTGCCAAATTGCTTTCCAAAGGGCTTGTATCAATTTATAAGGACAAGGCAGTCCATTTTTTTTTCAAGGTCTGTTTTTAGAGCTACTTAAAAGAAATAAAATTGTATATGGAGCCAGAGGTCCTGATAATGTGTAAATCATGAGCATCAGCCAAAATGTCCTTGGAGAACCAGCCAGCCCCGGGAGCCAAATGCTAAGTGGTCCAAGAACTCCAATACCGAGGGGAATCACAGCAGGGCAATCAGAGGGAATGACCTGCTGCTAGGTTTTTTCAGGGGGGTCACCTTCAAAGTTGGAACAGTGAGGAAAGAATTGATTCATCCATCAAGTTACTTTTTTAAAGTATTCAATATTCTCCGTTCTTTATAATGTACAACTCCAACTTGTAAAACTTTCAGCTCTGACATTGAGTGCAGACAAAGCTGGCCTAATTAACAGTAACAATACCAGAGCAGCAGCAGCAGCAGCAGCACCAGCAGCAGCTGCAACTCCCTGTGTTTATAACCTCCGAAGGCGTGACCATTGCCATCATTTTAAAGATAAGGAAACCGTGCCAGGCCATAGCTCCCTGAGAGCAGGGATGTTTGTTTTGCTTCCTGATGTAGCCTAAGTGTTGAAATGAGCACACAGTAGATGCTCAATAAATACTTTTGGTGCATGAGGCACAAAAGCCCAAGTAGCTTCTCCAGAGTCATGGGAGCCACTGCACAGCTGGGATTCAACGCTGGGACACCTGCCACAAAGTCCGGGTTCCTAAGCCCTCTGGATGCTGCCTGTTGCATGGGACAGACAGACACACCCAGTTCTGGCCACTCACCTGACTCCAGCTCCCAGCGAACCACTCCACCTTGCCAGTGCAGGGTCCATTGTCACACGGGGTGGCCTCTGCTGGCCGGTTGTTCCCGCAGCCCTCCAAGGGCAGGCTGCTGACGTGGTTGGTCATGCACACCACTGAGCGAGTCCTCACTCCAACCCCACACTCGGCTGAGCACTGTGAGACAGGAGGAGGGCAGGTGAGAGAGGCGGCACCTCAGACTCGGAAGCCCCTTCCAAATGATGCCAAGGAGGGAGGAACACCTCATTTCTATACCAAGTCTTTCTGGTCACGATTCCCTGACTACAGGACAGGCTCATAGAGCCCACGGCATGCTGTTCCCTCTGCCTGGAATGCTCTTCCCTTCCCCAGGACCCATCAGACCCCTTTAGGCTCAAATGTTATCATCTCTGGGGAAACTCCCTTGATCATCGATTCAATGCACTCTTTCTAGCATCAGAATCCTATGGCAGTCTGTAGTCTGCCTTCTTCTACTGTGTTATGGTTACTTGTGTCCTATTTCTTTATTTTTTTCTTTATAGAAATAATCTTGGCAAGGAAAGGGACTATTGAATCATCCTTAATTCCTTCTCATATCACTGCCTTATCCATGGATGAATCCATGAATATCAGCTGAATAAATGAACATGAACTTGGGTCCCCTCCCCCGCTCATTTTCTTAACACTTTCAGTCCTGTAAGTGGTCATTTATAGCATGACCAAAGTCCATCTAAAGGTTTCTAGGTCTTCTTTTATTTTTATTTTTGGGTGTTGGTGCTTGAACACAGGGATGCTTTACCATTGAGCTACATCCCCAGCCCGATTAATTTTTTTTGAGACAGGGTCTCATTAAGTTGCTGTGGGTCTTACTAAGTTGCTGAGGCTGGCCTTGAACTTGCAATCCTCTTGTGTCAGCCTCTGAAGTTGCTGGGTCTACAGGTGTGTGCCCAGCTAGGTCTTCTTTTAAAGACAGAGTTAGGAAGTTTGGTTTCTACCAATTACCACTTAAAATTTTGTTGTGTATATTTAAGGTACACAACATGATGTTATGGGACACAGAGATAATAGAAAGATTACTATAGTGAAGCAAATTAACATACCCACCATCTCACATAGTTACTCCCCTTTTTATGGCCATAGCAGCTAAAACCTACTCATTTCGTATGAACAAATTTATTATCTATAGTCCTCATGTTGCACATGACAGCTCTAGATTTTTTTCATCCTATGTATCTGCTACTTCACATCCTCTGACTACAGCTCTCCATTTCCTTTGCCATTCACCCTTAGTAATCACTATTTTGAGGAAAGAAAAAAAAATCCTCACAACCTCATTTCATTATCAAAATGTCCATTTCCATTTTTGTATACTGCCGTCTATTTTCATAAAACCACACCTCAGGTGAACAGTCAAACATTTACATGACTTCTGCTGAATTGGACCTGCCTCCTTTTGAATGAACTCCCTTCTGGAGAAAAGGGTTTGCAGAGGGCCAGAACATGCCACCCAGAATATGCTGCTTCAGTGTACTAATTCTTTTGAGCTGAAGGCAATTGAGAAATAGGAGAAGCAAGAAGGGCTTTCTGTCCTTTCCTTTTCTCCTTAAAAGCAGGGCATGAATTTCCAATGAGAAAGGTGCCTTCCCAGTTCTAGGAAAAAGAGAACATTTTTATTACTGGAGATGGGGAGTTGGCTCTGAGACGAGTTTGCATAAACTTAGTAAAATAATCTTTAACTTCCATTACTTTCCCCCTTATACTTCTTTCTCACTTTCTTAGAACTTACTCAAAGCTCAACTCTTTCCCCCTGTCTAGTTACTTCTTCACAATTTACTGTTCTTTGTTAAAGTGGTATATGAACCCTTGAGTCCAGACACTTCTTTGGAGTTTTTGCTTCTTTCCTATGAAGTTCCTTGTGCCACAAAGATATTAACATCAAATAAAATTTGTATGTCTTCCTCCTGTTAATATTTTGTTAGTTAAATTAATAGGCTGCAGCCAGAAAATCGAAGAGGGTAGAGGATAAGTTTTCCTTCCTTTACATGTTTACATACACACTTTATGACTTTTGCTCTTTTTGCTTCATTATTAGAAATCTTACACAATGCAATAGTTCCTTAGGTTAAGAAAATTATTTGTTACAATAATCAGAATAGTCTAGACTGGAGGGATTTTTGTTTCAGTCATGTATGATCTGGTCTTCTTCCTAACTTGAAAATTCAAGGTATTTATACTCTCTTGTAAAGAATACAAAAATCAAATCTCAATTATCTCTGTGTTTAAAAACCTAAAGAGGGGGCAGGGGTTGTGGCTCAGTGGTACAGCACTTGCCTAGCCATGGGAGGCACTGGGTTCGATCCTCAGCACCACATAAATAAATCAATAAATAAAGTTATAAAAATATATTTAAAAAACCCTAAAGATATTTCTTCCCACGTAATTTACATCTGACTAGTTAACTCAATTTTCTGCTTTCTAAATCTAGAATGCACAGGCATCTGGGAAAATTTCTCCATATTCCCAAGTGGCTTGATTTAAAAGAAGACCGTTAAGGATGAATGAGAGGACACACTGAGGGGACCTGTAGAGAAGCTTTGCTTTATTACATCAATGGCAGTGAAAAGCACAACTTTAAATTTGGTCCAAGAAGCCTACTGGCTGAAATGAGGGGCAGGGGAGTCCCTCTCAGCAGCAGAGACTGATCTTCAAAGTAAGGCACCAAGACACATCCATTTGTTTTCTCTGGTCTGTCCCTCTTTTTTAAAATTGTTCATTTTTTTTTTGCAATACTAAGTATTAAACCCAGGGTTTATTAGGTGTTAGGAAGTGCTCTACCACTAAGCAACAACCTCAATCCTTTTTATTTTATTTTGACACAAGGTTTTGCTAAGTTGGCCTTAAACTTGCAATCCTCCTGCCTCAGCCTCCTGGGTAGCTAGGATTATAGGTGTGCACCACTGTGCCTAGTTTTTTCCTTTTGAGCTCAATAAATCAGAGGGTGTGTCTTGGTCATGTGTGGTATGCAAGACGTGCTCAATACATGATTATTCTCAATAATGAAAAATTGCTAAGTTTAGACTGAAGCTTAGCAGGGTGGATTTTTATATAAAGCAACTATTCAAATGTGGAATACTGCCATCAGGGGGTCAGTCCTTCATGGATACTGACTCTTGTAAGGCCAAGGGGTGCCTCAAAGGTCCAGTGTAGACATGGAGCCTATGAAGGATGAAGCAGCCTACAGAAAACTCCCCACTGTGCCAGCCTCTCCTTGGTCATGATTTCCAATGCATTAACCTTTAATGCTCACCTGGCAATGTTACAGATGAGAAAACCGAGAAAAGTTCAGAGACTCAGCAGTTGCTCAAGGTCAAATAAGAAGTAAGTGGTAGTCAGCTGTGGTGGTGCACACCTGTAATTTCAGCAATTTGAGAGGCTGAGGCAGGATGATTGCAAGTTGAGGCCAGCCTCAGCAATTTAGCAAGGCCCTAAGCAACTCAGTGAGACCTTGTCTCAAAGTCAAAAATATAAAGGTCTGGGAATGTGGCTCAGTGGTTAAGCACCTCTGGGTTCAATGCCCAGTACAAAAAAGAAGAAGAAGAAGAAGAAAAGCAGTGGCCACAGAGATGATTCTAAAGGCAACGAGATGTCCTTAAACCCAACAGCATCCTCCTACCACTCAGCCACTCAGCTATTCTAAAGTTCCAAAGAAAGAATGGACATTTAGGGATAAGTTTATATTCTAGAGGTAGACAAAGCAAAATTTATTTTACTTACATCCTAGCTCCAAACTTACATGTCTTAAAACATCTCCATAAAAACCAAAAAAGTTCTCTAAATAGAAGAACAAAGGGCCCATTCTTTGCTCTATTTTAATTGCAAGATAGAGGTTAGATGCAGCAAATACTTATGTTAAAATAAATAGCAAATTGACATTAAGGGGAAATTTAGAAGTTGTTACTGAAGGGGAAATAGCTGATGTAGAAATCCTTGGAAAATTTATATGTAGAAGTTTACTACACTAAATAAATAGGGGAGATACACAGAGGAATGAACCACGGCAGGTTTTTTTTTCTATCTACATAGTTGTTTTATTTCTGTATATATTGCAATCTGAGTGCAGTGCCTTTTTCAGAGTGGGGCAAATATAGAGAGATACAATTAAAAAAGTATAATAATTCATCAAACTAAACTGATTAGTAAAATGCTCCTAGTTTGTTGGGGAGATGATAAATTGAAATAATCTTTATGGAGATAAGTTTGTCAAAATCTATTGAGTTCATATTATGCATCCATAACGTTTGGTCCAATAATTCCACTTCCTAGACACGATTTAGGGGAATAAGAAAAGGCACATATAAAGAGGGATACATAAGAATATTCACTGAAAATCCTTTTGAAGGTCCAATTTAAAATAGTAGAAAATTAGAAAAAAACTCAAACATTTAGAAATGGGGGACTGGTTCAATTACAGTAGCTATACAATAGCTTATTTTTTACTAAAAATCATGCATTAAAGACTTTTAATACTATGGAAATGTTTACAACATGTAAGTGAAAAAAGTAGGTTATCAAATTATGTCTGCATTATGACTTATATCCTTAAAATATCTAAAAGTAGTATAACCCCTATGTGCAGAGTATGTATGAGAAGCAAAAAAAAAATATTAGAAAGTGTGGCTAAATAATCTCAAATTATTATCTTTTAGTAAAGAGATTTGGGGCCTAGTTTTCTGAATTTTTCATATTTTTTATAATAGTGCATTACTTTATGACTAGAAAAAATGAACATTCTTCAAAAATAATCCTCCATATGAAAATGAAACCCAGTATCATTCTTCTCTTCTATTTTCTTACACAATATATTTATCAAGTTTACTGTGAATGCAAATAGATTCTAGGGTGGCTAGAAACCCAGAAATGAAATCACTGAAGAATTAATTGAAGGAACTAGGAATTTTTAGTCTGGAGAAGTGGAAGGGCTCTCCAAATGGCCACAGGCTGCCGTGCAAGCAGGGTCACTCAGATTCTGTAAAGGAAACCTCCTGAACCCTTGAGCTGTATGAGAAACAGATGAGCGAGTCTGGACACGGGGAGAATTTCTGACCAAGGAATCAGACAAAAACCTGAATGACCTTGGCAGGAAGGCTGCAGAGCATCCGCGTGCTGGCAGGGAGCTGATCAAAGCCACCGCCAATACCTCCCAGCCCTGATTCCACAACACCGCCAGCTAATGTTTGGGGTGGGAGGCTTGGAAAGGGGGCGATGTGCAGGCAGAATTGGGATGAGCTCCTCTGGACTCAGCAGTCTGAGTTGGTGGATGCCTTTCCGTGTGTTTCCTTGTGGGTGGAGCCTCCCAGGTGGCTAAGCTGGGGCCCCTTACCGCCTACCCCTGAGATCCAGGGCCCAGTTAGCTCATCCCAAGAGCTCAATGTTTACACCAAGGGCTCTCTATCTGGGGGCATCCTGGGGCTAAGAGGCAGCAGTTGTGTGCCACCAGGAGCCCTGAATCCACAAGAAGACAAGCTGCTGCATGGCAGTCTCCAGGACCATCTCTGAGGGTGGACCCAAGGCTGCATGCACAGGTTGTCCTTTCTTTCTGAATAACAAACTCACTGATGTGGATTATGTGGTGAAGAGAGGGACAGAATTAAATGACCCTTCTCATCTCCTTCCCCCTTGTCTTTTCCCCACCCCAATGTACACTCTTTAATTTTGCTTAGTGTTTTTCCTTCAAAAATAAAAATAAAAACTTATTTTTTTATTGTTATGTATATTTGTGCATAAGACTTGCCATCGTGACCATTTTTAAACTCCCTTCAGTGGCACTAGGTGCATTTCCTGTGTGGCCCTCACCACCCATCTCCAGAATCTCTTCCTTGTATAAACCCTATTTTTGCCTGTGACAGATGAACTCAGTCTAATACTGGTTTTCTTTGTATACAGGTCACTGCTGGACTCACAGAACTTTATATGCCTTTGAGTTTTTCATGGACACCTGACACTTAGGAGGCTGAGGGAACCAGGCTACTGGGGAGAGGGGCAGGGTCTAAAATGTTTTTAGTTATTAAAAAGCAGGGGAGATGCCTACGTTTTGCTGAATGTCTGTTATTTGCTAGGCACTCACAAACATGGAAGGTGTGATGTAATTATTCCCTATATTTAGTATTTCATTATTTAATCATACACAGTGCTAAGGAGAGTTAAGTTCATTTTTTCTCACACCCACTTCTCAATCTTGAAGTTTCAGTCCTCAGATGAGGAGACAGAGCATGTAATAATCAATCTTTGGTCCTTTGTTTTCAAAGTCAGAAATCATCCTTGGGACTCTGAGCTGGTGATTTGTCTTTGCATGGTTTGGGGATACCCTGTGACATACAGCTCCTACCCACTTAGCTTAGTGGCTTGGTCTCAGGCTGTCTGCCACTGACACACTCACCCTTTCACTCCACTCAGTGAGGAACCAGCTCTTTGCACAGGGTCCCATGTCGCAGTTCTCGATGTCATTTGGCCGGAGCTTCATGTTGCATTCCTCATCATCGACCACGTCCCCAATGTTGCTCACACACTTCACATCTCGGGTCCTCTGTCCCACTCCACAGGGCACTGAGCACTAAAACACAGTAAGCTTACATCAGTGGCATGTGTCCTCACTCTTCTGTCACCCGTATCCTGAATAGATAACTGTGGTGAGGTCTCCAGTGTTGCTAGGTCCCCCTGGGGAAGGATCTTAGCCCTAGAAAACTTCACGACTCTTTTCTTTAAGACCTTCTTAGAGGAAATCTTGCCTACTTTATTCTGATGGCTCTCAGTTTTTTCATCCATAAAATGGGAGAGTTGGCTATGCTAGTGGTTGTCTACCTCACTCCACCACGACACCTGGGTCTGATGAGGTCAACAGGCACAGGGCTCCCATGGGCTCACCCATGAAGTTGGCTGTTGGTGATGCACACCAGCCTGAACTCTACTGAGCTCTTGGTACATCCCAGGACCTGCAAACACAGCTAACCAGCACCCTGGGGATGGGTTTCCTCCTGGGGAGCTGAGGGTTATCTTGTCTCAGGTCCTGGTGGGAGGAGGTGGGAGGAGGTGGGAACGTGGTGGTGGGTCCTGGAGACGGGGGTCTGCAGCAGGCTGCCCTGCCCCATACCGAGGTCCAGTCAGTCCGGATCTGCCACTCGCTGCAGATCTTGAGTTGGCAGGTGCTGGTGGTCTCAGGCTTCTCCAGGTGCTGGCAGCGGTAGGGCTGCACCGTCAGGCTGCGGTTGGCGTACACCTGGCGGCACAGAACCTGGCGGTGCTGCATGCCCAAGCCACAAGTTTTGCTGCATTCAGACCACTCCCCGATGTCCCAGCTGGCTCCGAAAAGAGGTGGGGTGGGCCAAGGGGAGAGAGAGAGAGAGAGACTTCAGAGGGAAGCGTGAACCCAGCCCATTCATAATCATCAGAATCCCTGGGGGACCCTCCTCCTGGATCATTGGCTGCAAATCTGACTAAGGTCATCTGACTCATAAGGGAAGCAAATTTTGTTTGACATGCTATTTGCCAGTGACCAGGGCCCAGATTCTATATGAAGTTATAGAATGCTGAGAAGGTACAAAGGATTTCTATCTAGTAAACAAGGTAAAACAGAACCCAGCCACTCCAAAGGGGACTTTAATTACTCTGGGGAACATAACCTGGTTTGGCACTAAGAGACCTCCCTCCAGCAGCCCTTCCTTTGCAAGGTCTCCACATCCTTTTTGCATATCCTCCTCTGTCCTCTCAACTCAGTGATTAGCTGCATGTGACACCAGCACATGCTCATTATGCATTTGGATGAGAGTATTATTTTTATTACTCAGAGAATTAGGTTTTGACCTTTTAGGGCCTTTCCCTCAGTTCTTTTAGAAGTATCTAACCAGTCTAAGACCTCTCTTGAGACACTTTTTCTGAATTTTCCAGGCCCACTCTCAGTACCCTCTCTCTGTACTCAGCTCCCTGACAGCACTGATGGTACTAGGTTCCCATTCTTTGCTTCCACCTGTTTTCCTTACAGGCTAAACCCCAGTTGCCCCAATTTCCCAAAGGGTGGGCTTTCTTGCTCAGTGTGCCATTTGCTAAAGGCCAGCAGCTCCCGGGTTTCTCCAGAAAGACAGGTAGGCTTGCTAAACAGACCACAAGGCATGCACAGTCCAAGTCTGGTGTTTGTAAATCCGACTCAGACTAGTTTAATAACTAGATTCTATCTGCTATTAAGGTCTCATGCACACCAACCAGAAGTGACCCGACAATAGGTGACCTAGACAGAGGCCTCTTACAAGGCTGGGCAAGGGAAGAGGTTGCAGGGCTCCTCCTCTGGGGTTGGCTTCATGCTGGAGTCACAGAAGCTCTCTGGAACCTCTTCGTGAGTGTTTCTGTGCACACAGCGGAAAATAGGGTACTGTGATCCTGTAAGGACAAGGAGAGCGCCACGGTCAGCCTCACACACTTGAAGCTGGGCTCCGGGATGGTGCACAGGTGTTGAGGGCTGGTGAAAGGAGGATCATCCCCACAGGCCCTCCTTCACCAGTATGTCGATATGCACTTACTCACAGGACTTTGCTAGTGACTGTGGGCGTGCAAAGGAGAGTCCCACACAGCTCCTGCCTCGGAGAGTTTCTACTCTATTTGTGGACACGGTTTGAATATATTCAAAGGTAGATAAAAGCAATTTTCACAATGGTTTGAAATAACAAAAAAGAACTCACTAGGTTGGGAGTGACTATAGAATGAACACAAATAGTTACTTTCTAAGGTTCTCTGGAAGCATCCAAGAGAAAGTGTCCTGGGGGGGGGGTGAAGCCATGTTTCAGAGAAAGGGCTGGGCTTGGGTAGTTTATGTGCACCTGTATTGGGGGAGGGGCTGCCCAGGTGGTTAATCTGGAATAAAAATACTTGCTTGACAAGCTGACTTTCTAGACCAGGAACACATGTGTGGCAAGTTGAAGCAAAGCAGGAAGAAGATTCAAGATTCAAGAATAGCTGCTGTCTCCCTTTGTAACATATTTCTACGTTACTCTAACAATGTCTGAATCCAGTGGTAATTCTGTTTCAGGTATGTCTGCTTCTCATGAAGACAGTGGGCTATTCAGGGACAGGACTAGTTCTTATTCATCTCAGCAACTCCAGGACCTAGGAAAGTAGCAGGTGCTCAATACAAGCTTGTAGAATAAATATTTATTAGAGGTTGTAATAGTTTGGATCTGGAATGTGCCCCAAAGCTTTATGTGTTCAAGGTCTGGTCCTCAATTACAGCAATATTTAAAGGTGGGTATTTGAGACATGATTGGATATGGAGGGCTCTAACCTAATTGGTGGATTAAACCACTGATGGAGTCATAGTTCGATGGTATTATTGGGAGGTAGTGGATACTGTAGGAGGTAAAACCTAGTTGAAAGGAGTAGGTCCTTGGGAGTGTGCCCTTGGGGGCTATATTTTGTGTGTTCCCTGCCCCCCACACCCTGACATAAGCTTCCTAGCTGTCATGAGCTGAGCAGCTTTCCTCTGCCATGTCCTTCTGCCATGATATCCTACTTCACCTCAGGCCCAAAGCAATGGAGCTGGTTGACTGTGGACTGAAACCTCTGAAACCATGAGCCAAAAATAAATCTTTCCTCTTCTAAGTTGTTTTTCTCAGGCATTTGTCACAGTGATGAAAACCTGACTAACACAGAGGTATTATACTTGTTTTTGGTATTTTGCTAAAAAAAAAACTGCCTCATGGTTTTGTTTTAGAAACATAGCCAAGTTTCACTGGCTTAGTTAGGATAAAACTATTTTGAACAACAAGCCAGAATTTGATCAGTGAAATTTCCAGCTCTCAATTCAGTTCTGTCTTCCTCTCTGCTGCCACCTGCTGACAGCACTGGGGTACTACTAGTGGAATTTTAAGAACAGAGAATACTGTCTGAATCAAGCTTCTGAGATTGCTTCTTCACAAATAGCTGTCTACCTCCAGTCCGGGGTGGTGCATAATTCCTGCTGGGAAGAGCACTATAATTTATTCTAAAACTACTTATTTCTGTTGCTAATTTGCCAGGCACTTATATTTTCTGGAGCTACGACTTACATGTCTTGATATGACATCAGCCATGCAAGTGTCTCAGATATCCTTCAAATTGATTTTGTATGACAGAATGAGCCAGAGGATAGGTTGTTCTCATAAGAAATTTGTCAGTTTGTAAGACAGTTTTGAATCTGAAATAATCATTTGTTTAAATGACTCTGGTTGTAAGAATTTACAGTGTAGCTATAACTTGAGACCATTATTTAAAATAACGTTCCAATTAGGCCCAATTATTAGGTCAGTAAAAAGCAGTACTGACTGTAAAATTAATGGGAAGCAAAAACTTTTGAGGAATTAAATTTTGTTCAACTACATATCTCCTTCCATTAAATAGAAGAGATTTTTAATTAAATTCAATAAACATTAAGCATATTGTGCTGAGTTAAAAAGAAGAACAAGACTTAGCTCCCAGCATGCAGTGCACCCATTTAGTACCCAGCTATTAAGGGCTTAAGTAAAGATCTTATTTAGCCTATTCCTTTCCCTCTAGACCATGTGGGTTTAACTTTTCCACTTATAAGTTTGTGGACTGGAAAGCAAAAATCACTACCCCAACCACTTGGCACTCACCGAGGGGGAAATCTAATATTTTTAGCTAAAAGGATACAGGATACCATAGGAATGCTCTTGCTTGGAAGGATGGGTCCTGCTTGGGGGCGTTTGGCAGGTGGCCACTGCTTGCCTTCCCCCACAATTTTATTGCATTTATGTGCATTGTCCATTGTCCATGGTCCAGCTCCATGGAAATGAACCAAGGAAATGAAATCAGAGGCTCTTTGTCTCTCTGATGGTGAGGAAATACTGGACCTACAATTCTTGACTCCAGCAACTGCAATGGTTTCTTTCTTTAGGTCAGTTCTTACATCCACAGAAAGGGAGATTGTCACTCAGAAGGGCACCTGACTACCTCGCATTGTCCAAGATTACAATCCAATGATTCCTATCATTGCCCGCAAGCAAGGACAGGGTGTTGAGGGCAGGTGCTGTCTAGGCTTAGGGCAGAAGAACAAATATGGGGTGTGTTGGTCTGGCTGGTATGTGGGAATGCTGATCAAAATAGAAGTGTGTTATGTCAGAATTGGGAACTGTACCTCAGGTTATTAGTTTATAATAAATGGCGTTAGTTAGTTAATTCAAGGGATGGGGTGGAGGTCAGTGAGATATTATGGAGAGATGGATGTAAGATGGATCAAGTAAGAGGTTAATAACTCTAGGCTTGTACCTGCAGGAATCAACTGAGCCATGCCAGGACTTTGACAGAGGTCTGGGTAGTGACATACAATCTTGGCTACCATCCTAAAAGGCTAATACCATGATTGGCATGCTGCTGCCGAAACATTTACAAAAAGGGAAATGTAAATGTGGGAGACACAGACACGTGTGGCTGGCTCCCCCAGGGAGGATGGGCAAGAGTCTGGGAGAGGGTTTGTAAGGCACAGATGATGAGATCACAAGAGGTATGGATTTGGGTTGTGCAGAAAAGGGTTGGATAGTGCTGGCACTCTTAGAATTTCTTGGTCACAACACACTTGATAGTCCTGCTGATGACTGTGAGATGAGCTATATGTTCTATGCATCCACATTGTCTCCCTGGCCTTGCATATCTGGTGACATCACTTTAGAGGGAGCACAGGAGGGGCACCCTTGGGCTGCTGGCATTTGTCACATGAAAGAAAAAGAGAGCTAGGACTATAAGAAAATGGAAGGATAGGGAAAGAAATACCCCTATTTTTGGTTTGTTCCCAATGTACCTCTGCAGTATCTCTTTGGCTTCCAAACCAGTACTGTCTAGCAGGGAAAAGAAGAAGGTAGGAATGTCACCTCAGATACTCATGAGTGACAGATGCCAAGTGTGGGTGTGCACATGTGCAAGTGGATGTGTACAGCCTAAATATTTAAAATGGGTATGGATGCCAAATTCCAGACCTCACAATCTAGAAGACAGTGTGAATCCACAATGTCAAGGAGAATGCTACCTTAAAGATTACACAGAGTCATATGGAAACATAGAGACACAGACTATTCTTTTTCTTTTTTTTTTTTTGTGGTTCTGGAGATTGAACCCAGGGTCTTTTGCATGCAAGGCAAGCACTCTACCAACTGAGCTACCTCCCCAGCCCCAGATCATTTTTGAATATACGAATCCACATTTTTTATGTTATTGACAGCACATGGGCAAAGGCAGGAATAGAATTGTGTGTCTAGGATATAATACAGATATAAAAGCTGTTCTTGTATTTTTTCTAATAGTTCATACAGCCCACATTTGAAATATAATAATCTATTCATTTATCCTAGACACATTTGAAATAGGCTGCTGTGCTGTGGTACCAGGTGCAGAGGCTACAAACTGCATACTCATAGAGACAGCCCAGCCAGGAAGGGTGGGGACAGAGATGTGTCCTGAACTGCTGAGAGTCCCAGATGCAGAAGTGCCTATTTGCATTTTGTAGAATTAGGCACAGAGGAGGTGGCATCTGAGGTAGGTAGGTCTTGGAGTAGAAACAGGAGTTTGCTGGCTCAATACCAGAGGATAAGAGGAAGAGTTTTTACCTCAGTGTGGATCACACATCCAGGGTAGGTTAGGGGCCAAAATAACTGGAAACTTTGGATATAAGGTCTCTCCATCATGTCAAGTATAGAATAGAGAAAGGCCTGCTGAATGGCTACCTAGACAAGTGAGCAGCATCCATCCAGTTACTGCTGGACACAGAGTATGGAAGATGTGTTGGCCAAAGGTACATACTTTATCCTTATCTCATTATGTCCACAATGCAATGCCTTATGGTGGCTGGGTGGGGTGGAATAGAAACTTCTATCTATGCCACTCTTGATATGTTACCACATGATGAGCTGGACCCAGTGGTGCATGCCTGTAATCCCAGCAGCTCGGGAGGCTGAGACAGGAGAATTGTGAGTTCAAAGCCAACCTCAGCAATGGTGAGGTGCTAAGCAACTCAGTGAGACCCTGTCTCTAAATAAAATACAAAATAGGGCTGGGGATATGGCTCAGTGGTCAAGTGCCCCTGAGTTCAATCCCCAGTATCAAAAAATAAAACAAAAAAATCCCCCCAAACCCCAAATGATGATAATTTTCATCCTTTTAATGACTTTCTCTCATTTTCACCTAGTATATCTGGTTCCTTTCACAGGCATCACACCATTATACAGATGGCAGAATATTTTGGAAATAATACACTTTGATCTTGGGTTCCTATGTTAATTACATTACATACTACTTATCTCTATAAATGTCATGGCCAGAGTCTCATTAAAATGATTTTGGCCTTAATGCAGAATTACTCCTAGCTTTCTACCTCTCTCAAGACACATTCTACAGGCATTTTCCCTCATAAATGTGATTTTCCCTCATAAAGCTTGCAGGAGAAGTTGGGTTCAACGAATTGCCAGTCCACATTCTTTGCACATGTATCAAGCATGAGCACAATAAAATTGGAATAAAACCTTGTAAATTAATACTCTAGTTACCAAGTCTTTATGGAATTTCAGAGATTCTGGGCAGGAAGAGCTCTAGCTCCCAGAAGAATCCAAGACTTAAATTTTATTCCCAAAGCCACTAAGTCAAAGCTTTAGAAGCAATTGTGAGAGATTTTTCTATGTTCGAATTATGTCAAGATTTCCAAATTTCATACTCTTAGATTCAAATCTCTTGAAGAAAAGAAAAGGAAAAAACATCCCCAAACAATATGTTGGGTGTATCACATAGTGACACAGGTTGTCGGAAATCCTGGGGGGACACAGCCTTTTTGTTTCTATAATAACCTCCCTTCAGACAACAGCCATTTCAGGGACAATAATAGAATTTTAGCACAAATGAGAGGCTATTATTATATATCTGAAGGAAATGATAACTACAGTTTATAGAGTATTCTTGTAACGAGGATCAAAGTTACCTTGAAGCAGAAGCACAGTTCATTTCCTATCAAGGGGACAATGTCACATAAGGAGTTTCTAGATACCAGGATCCACACCTATCCTAACTTTGGAGCTTCCAAGGAAATGGGATGCTGGGTCCATGTTCAGGCCTCATGTTGGCCCCTTGACACAGTCATGCTTTGAGCCTGTCAGAACTCTTGCTTTATTGAAATGACACCAAAACTCCATCCATCTCCCAAATCCTATAACTCCCTTTTGTTTGGAGAGACAGGCCATGCTTCTTCAGGTTTCTAGTGTCCCTTCTTGCAATAAGTTAATAAACCCGACTTTGCTGGGTACAGGTTTGCCCCTTGGAGGTCCTATCTGACTGGGTTGGGCTAATGGATGAATATGGAATTAAGATTTTTACTGGGAGAGTATGGAAAGGAAACCATGAGTATAAAAGCCAGCTAATTAATACCTCAAGCCCTCAAAGTATGTTTTACTCTCCTAAAATCATTAGATTTGAGAATGAGTTTAAAATGGCATTTGTGTAAAATCTTCTACAACCTTGACTTGTATATCAATTTTAGACCTGAAATGTGCATTCTGTAATTACTGTGAATATTATATATATAATAATATATATATATATGCGCATATATATATATGCGCCCAGAAAAGGCTTAACTCAGCAGCCTGGGTTGCTCAAACCCTGCACATTGCATAGAAAGGTCTGTCCTCACGACTGTCCCTGAATCGGCTACTGGGAGATGACCTTGGAGTCCTTGGAAAATTCTGCCTGGTGAGAGTTTTTCTATGCCTGAGATCTTGGGCCATGTGTATGGATTTGTCAGGATAATTTGTGCCGACAATGTGATTTACAGTGACTGTCTGCATTTGTATGCCTCAAGCCTTGCTACATTGTATTGGTTTGACCTTGGGGGTACTAAAGGCTGTGTAGCTAATGCAAGCCGTGTAGGAGCTACATGCCTGTATGACTAATGCCCAGTAAAAGCCCTGGACACTGAAACTTGGGTGAGCATCTCTGGTCAGTACTCAGGGTGTGTTGTCGCACATCACTGTGGGGAAAATAAAGGGTATCCCTGAGTGGCTCTACCAGGTAACCTCGAGGAGGAGACACCTGGAAATTGGCCCTTGGTTTCTCCCGGACTGTGTCCATATGTTATTTCTCTTTGCTGATTCTAAACTGTATCCTTTTATTGTTATAAAGTGTAAACATGAGCCTTTCTGAATCTTGTAAGTCCTTGTAGTAGATCACTGAGCCCAAGGGTCATCTTGGGGACCTCTAACCCTGCCTGTTGTGCCAATGAACCATTTCACAGGTAGGTCACGGAAGTGAGGATTTGCCACACACCCTGAGGCATACTTCCTTGTTTGGGTTCTGCAGGGACACCCTGTCCCACAGGCAGGCTCACCTTTCCCACAGGTTGTTGAACATTCTGTTGTCCCCAGCTGCTTCCAGTTGTGATCCCGGCTTCTTCGTGGGGGCTGTGGCACTGGTGGTACCAAGTTGTCTGGTCGATGGGAAGAAAATCTATCTGGATGCCTGACCGGGAAGGTCTGCACCGATTCTGAGGTGAAGATTTCAGATGCCTCCCCGGGCAAGTCTTCCTTCTCCCCGTTCTTCTCTTTCTCTTCTCCATCTTCCTGGCTTCTACCTTCTTCATCCAGCTGGCCATTGAGGGGTTCTCCTAGGAGAGGCCAGCACACACACAGAGAAGAAAGATCATTTTGGACACTGAGTAGAAAGAGGAAATTGCTTCAACGTTAGAAATTACGTGGCATGAGATCATTTCTAATCTGCAACACTTAAGTATAGGATATTTAAAATAAGCAGATGCTAGCTTTCTTAATATTCCAAATATGAATTAAAAATCAATAAGAAAAAAGATGAACATCCCAATAGGAAAAGTATACAAGGGCCACGGAGAGTTACTTTCCATCAAAAGACATGCAAACAGCCAAAAGCCACACAAAAAATGTTCACTTCATTCCTAATGAAAGAATTACACCCGAAAACAAGAATAAAAACATCAATAGCTCCATTTACCTAATGAGAAGGATCAGAAACTCAGAGTTTCTGATCAACCCCAGAGTCCCAAATCCCTGGCTGAAGGTGCATGAAAACGCTTAAATTCACTGTTTATGAGCCTGCAAATAGATGCCAATTTTTAGAGGGTGATTTGGCTCTAGCTATCCAAAATTTAAATTCACATACACCCTTTGACCTAGTGATTCAGCTCCTAAAGTCTTTGTCAGACAAAGATTCTCATTCTTTGATGTAAAGCTGAACATACAAGTATGATTATTAATATGGTTATTATTTGAAATAGCAAAACAGTAGAACAGACTTCAATGTTCACGGAGAATAGTGATAAAAATATATTATTCTGCAACTGCGAAATGGAATGCTATGTGAATTTTCTTTTTAAAAGAATGCAGCACATATGTGTTCTGACATGGAGATATTGACTATGATATGTTGTTTGATGAATAAAAAAAGGCATAGAATTCAGTTTGTATACACACACACACACACACACACACACACGTGGCAGGTCACTTTTGGGATGTTCTTTGTGTTTGGTGGCCTTTCTTTGTTTCCCCCTTTCCTCCCCTAGTCTGAAAGGGGATCCATGTTCTTAGATTTTTTTTTTGCTTTGGTTTTTTGCAGGAGAGAAAATAAAGCTGCTTGAAATTGATGGTTCTCCTTTAGCACAGTACAAAGCTGGGCTCTCAGGGAGGGCAAAGTAGAAGTTCTGTCAGTTAAGGATGAGGAGGAAGAGGAGG